TGAGCAGCCCATGCAATGAACCGCACCGTGGATTTATGATATTTTAAATCCCCTGACACAGCCGCGCAAAAACCCTCAGCCAGCGTGTGAGAGCTGGCCCCTAGTTTGGCGAAGAAATCAGCCCACAGATTCCCAGCCCAACTTTTGACACACAGACCACGCTCCAAAACGTCATCGAAACTCAGATGGGCTGGGAACCAAGAAAACTGGGGGTGATTAGACTTAAGATCAAATATGGACCTCCAGATCGAGGCATGCTTGGACATGCCTTGGGAAAGATGCTGGCTCCAAGAATTGCCTTCTCGCACAACAGCCTGGAGGTCCGATACAATACTCTGATGCTGCGGGTGAAAAGCCAGACCCTGCCGCACAGCCCAGCGTTCAGCACGACCTATGGTCTGACGCTCACCTGGGAGCGCTCCATATACGGCCCTCAGGGGAAGCAGACAATCAATCAATGTATGAATCCTTGCATGTTCAATACATGATCCGCACGCGGAGCATGTAACAAAAAACGGCACTGTGTGTGTGTGCCGAGGCGGGGTACGATTTGCCCAACCACCCCCCAGGCCAGAGCCCTCGTCTCGCCTCCCCCGGCTCCTCCTCCTGCTCCTCCTCCTCCTCCTCCTCCTCCTCCTCCTCCTCCTCCTCCTCCTCCTCCTCCTCCTCCGTCGTCGTCCTCTCCTCCTCCTCCTCCTCCTCTCTCCTCCTCCTCCTCTTCCTCCTCCTCCTCCTCCTCCTCTCCTCCTCCCTCCTCCCCGTCGTCCTCCTCCTCCTCCTCCTCCTCCTCCTCCTCCTCCTCCCTCCTCCCCGTCGTCGTGCTCCTCCTCCTCCTCCTCCTCCTCCTCCTCCCCCTCCCCCTCCTCCTCCTTCACCTCGTCTGGCCCACTCGGAAAACCTAGAGCCCAGGCACATCCCTTATTCATCGTCCCCCGGGGTCCGGTTTTTTAAGGCGCCTTTTGGGTGTCTGAGGGGTGCGGTTTTTATCAGGACGCGTTCTTCGGATTGGAGCCTTGGCGGTCCGCTTTATCAGGGCGCCCCCTCGAAGAGGGGGGTCCGGAATATCAGGTCGCAGTTGGAGGGGGGCCTGGTTTTCTAGGGGGGGTCGACTGAGAAGGGACTTGGAGCAAACAGGGTGCTGTGCTGCGCACGCGGGAGGCCCAGCAGAAGACCCCAGAGCATAGCAGGCCGGAGACCACGCGGGAGACCACGCGGGAGAGCAGCGGGGAGGCATGCGAGGAGGCCAGAGGGGAGGCCATCACAAGAGAGACCGGGAGGGAGACAAGACGGGAGACCACAAGGGGAAGCAGAAGGGAGACCAGAAGGAAGGCCAGAGGGACACCCCAGGGTCGGCGGCGAGCGAGGGGGGGAAGTGAGGAGAGGCGGGCCTTCTCAGAAGGCTCGGAAGTTCCCCGGCCTTCTGAGAAATGTGCTATGCCTTCCCCGAAGACGGAGAGAAAACTTCTCCAGAGGGCGCGAGGGCTTCTGAGAAGAAATCCCGACGTCTTCGGAGGAGGCCTCCTCCTTCGCACCTCCCCCCCTCGCTCGCCGCCGGCAGGGGAGACCATGATGAGCCTGTTTTCCACCACCACCACCATGAAGGGGGGAAGGAGGAGGAAAAGGAAGAGGAGGACGAAGAGGAGGAGGAGGAGGAGGAGGAGGAGGAGGACAACCCCCTCCAACTTATGGTGGTGGTGGTGGAAAACACGCCTATCAGACCAGAAGAGAGACCCTCAGGTCGCCGACTCGTGGGCCTGGGGCGGATCCGCACGGGAGAGCACACTGAGGAAGGGAGACACCATCGTTACGGAAGATCGCACGGGAGGCCATCACGCCATGGACTCGGGAGCAGGCCACGGACCTCCGGGCCCCTGTCTCGGGTGGCGAGCGAGGGGGGAAAACTGAGAAGGAGAAGGCCTCCTCGGGAGGTTCGAAGGATTGCAAAAAAAACCTTCGTTGCAATCCTTCGTTGCAATCCTTCGTTGCAATCCAGGGTTTTTTTGCAATCCTTCGTTGCAATCCTAAGTCCCCGGCCCTTCTGAGAAGTTGTCGAGGCCTTCCCCGAAGACGCCAACAAGCCTCTCAAGGGCGCGAGGGCTTCTGGGAAACCTCGCCGCCTTCTGAGGAGGCCTTCTCCTTCTCACTGCCCCCCCCCCTTGCTCGCCGCCTATTGTTTCTTACAAGACGTACGACATACGCCACTGGTAACCGCGAGAAGTCTTCAGAACCCCCAGGAGAACCCACCGATTTCCGCAGCACCCGCCGCGCAACAGCGACAACGACAGCTAAAAGGAGCAGCAAGAGGAGGGGGAGGATTCACCGCTGGGTGAAAAGGCGGGGGGATCAAAACTAAGACCTCCCGAGGTTAGGGTTGGCATGCGTTGCTTGCAGCCAGCTTCCGCTGGCGGAGCCGCCCTCTCCAGACATCAAAGGTCGCCATTCGATCACAGCGTGGCTCCCAGAAGGTCTGAAATCATTCGCCAGGACGGGCGTTTCGTTTTGAGTCGTTTTACCCCACCCAGCAAAATAAGGGCTCTCGAGTCTTTTAAGAGCGGACCTCCCGGCCCGCCTCACCCAAACAACGTACCGAGAACGCCATGCCCCAAACATTCGAGCTTTTCGCGTCAGCTACAGGCTACAGAAGTCAATCACGCACACACGTTTATATCTCATCGCAGAACGGGAGTAAGCGCATGCAATGAGCAAACCGCATAATCCGCCGATCATGTCGGCGTGTGTGAGGGGCTTCTCCGTTCGACTCGTCGTCTCCGTCGTCTCCGTTCTCCCCCTCACAGGGCTCTCCTCCTCAAGCGCGCTATCCAAAGCGAAATTAAACGACGTCGTAGTGTAGTCGAAAGGAAGCCCCTTCCCTTTGATCCCTTCCCCGCAGGGGGGGGGGGGAAGGGGGGGGGGGCGGGGCAGATACGACGCCCGCCGGGCGCACTTTCCTCGAGCGGCACGCACGGGATGCACTTCCTCCTCCTCATCCTGGTCCTCCTCCTCCTCTCCTCCTCCTGCTCCTCCTCCTGCTCCTCTCCTCCTTCTCCTCCTCTCTCCTCCTCCTCCTCCTCCTCCCGCAGAGGCGTCCCGGTAGCGGCGGGCCCCGTCAAAATACCACCCCCCTAGGGCGCATGTTCCTCGAGCGGGCACGCCCGAGATGCACTTCTTCTTCCTTCCTCTTCACACTCCCGGGGCGCACTTTCTTCGAGCGGGCACACAACGGATGCACTTCCCTCCTCCTCTTCCTCCTCCTCCTCCTCCTCCTCCTCTCCTCCTCCTCCTCCTCCTCCTCCTTCTCCTCCTCCTCCTCATCATCATCATCATCCTCCTCCTGCTCCTCCTCCTTCTCCTCCTCCTCCTCCTCCGCTTCCTCCCCCCACTCCTAGCCCTTTCGATCAGGGTCGGCGGCACCGGCCGTCAGGCCTCTCCAACATCAAACATGCGACAACCAATGCACGCATGATATATTCACCAACCTGCGTACATACTAACCATGCAGAAATGTGTACCGAGCATGCATCAGCAATTGTGTAAGATGTTACACTGCAGAGCCACACGCAATAGGATTCGAAACCATGTGGAGCAGCTCAGCGGCTGAAACATCATACAGCGGAGGCCAGTCCACAAGACACCATCCACGAGAAACCCTACCCTGGGACAACAGGACGCCTATCGATCTTGGCGTGGGAAAGCTGCGCTATCTATAGCAAATCCCTCGAAACCTAAGAAGCCCAGGGCACCCTGGAGGCAAGCAAGGTGTTTCTTGGCATGAGCCACCACTGTATCGAGCAGGGACCGACCGTCTCGGCATTCTTATAGGCCTACCACGAAAGTTTTTTAGAACCCACAAATGTTCGAATAACAGAAACAACGCTCGTATATTACAAATCCGATGTGTTGAAACAAGATCGTCCCAGCCAGAGAGGTTCTCATAACATTGCGTCGAATCCACAAAAGGGTTCTTCGAACATTGTCTGGTAGGCCTTCTGGCACGCCATGGCGCTTCGCCACTGCTTGACTGTAATCTTCGCCCCCCTGGGGAAACCTGACAAATACCGACATCGCTACTCCCCGGACCTCTCCCAGGGCGCGTTCTGACCAGGATTTCGAGGCGAATCCAGCGGTGGCGACGAGGGCCTCCCAGGAGGCCCAACAAGGGGAAAACGAGGGGAGGCTAGACCTTTTCCTCCTCTGAATCTTCGCCCCCCCTCCACGAGCACCCCATCGCCCCAGCGGCCAGCGGGCCGGCGCGCCGCGCTGGCGCCCCAGAGGCGAGCCCCCGCAACAACGGAGGGCGCCGCGAATTCGCACGCGCCTGCGCCGATCCTGGCTGGGCACGTCCTGGGCCAGGGCGCAGCGCAGCACGACCAAAGTGGGACGAGTCCCAGACATCACTTTATCGCTGGGTCCCAGGACTCCCAGGTGAATTTTGAAAATGTCCCCCGCGACGACACCCCTCAACAGTGCACATTTTCGCGGGCGCCACTCTCGCCATCGCTCGGACGTCCATTCCCTGTGCTTTTTCGGTTTCGTGCGTGTGCTTTTCGCCAAATGATCAAGGATGCTCCTCGAGGGTCCTCGCCGAAGGAAAAATGCACACGTCCGAGCGATGCCAAGCACTTCGAATCCGCATCGATCGCTCCAGACGCGACTGGCTCAATGGAAATACCGCTCCACAAAACCAAGTGCGGGGGCCAGCGGCGGCCCTGGCCGTGCCCGCACCTGGCCGCGCGCGGCGCACGGCTGGCAGACATGTCTGGCGACAACGTCTGGCAGACAGGATCGCGTCGTAAAGAAATCAAGGCGGGGAGTTTTTTGGCAGTGTGCGGCCTCGGGGGGGGCCCCCAGCCTTCACATGAGTCTGATATCTCGCGTGTGGATTTGGATATGACGCGGCACCAAGATATGACGCCAATGGCGTATTTTTTCGTACGATGGTGATGATGATGATGATGATGATGATGATGATGATGATGATGATGATGGCAATGGCGATGATG